TCATTCATCTATCTATCTATCTATCTATCTATCTATCTATCCTTCCATCCATATATATATCTGTCAATCTGTCTATCATCCATCCTTCCATCTATCTGTTTTTCTGTCCATCCATCCTTTTATATATCTGTCTATCATCCATCCTTCCACCTATCTGTTTTTCTATCTATCTATCTATCTATCTATCTATCTTTCTGTCTCTCTCTGCATCCTTCCATCCATATATCTGTCAATCTGTCTGTCTGTCATCCATGTTTTTCTGTCCATCCATCCATCCTTTTATATATCTATCATCCATCCTTCCATCTCTTTTTTCTGTCCATCCATCCATCCATCTATCTATCTATCTATCTATCTGTCTGTCTGTCTATCTATCTATCTATCATTTTATCTCTCCATCCTTCCATCCATATATATATCTGTCAATCTGTCTGTCTATCATCCATCCTTCCATCTATCTGTTTTTCTGTCCATCCATCCTTTTATATATCTGTCTATCATCCATCCTTCCACCTGTTTTTCTATCTATCTATCTATCTAGCTGTCTCTCTCTCCATCCATCCATCCATCTATCTATCTATCTATCTATCTCTCCATCCTTCCATCCATATATATATGTCAATCTGTCTATCATCCATCCTTCCATCTATCTGTTTTTCTGTCCATCCATCCTTTTATATATCTGTCTATCATCCATCCTTCCACCTATCTGTTTTTCTATCTATCTATCTATCTATCTATCTATCAAAAACCAAAAATAAAACAATCCAACACTAATGGTCACTTAGGATGTAATAGAGTTAGTGGTTTCTAAACTTACCAGTTCTGATCTTAACCAAGTTATGGCTCCATCTATTTTGGCTCTCCGAAGCTCTTCGTTTACTTGGAAACTCTTTCCGATCGGATGAATAGCTGTCTCAGCGGAGGTTCTTGGTTCTGCCGATGTTCTGAAAGCATGTAACAGCTTGTTCTTGATGTTCTCCAGAACCATGATAGATACTGAGTCCTCATACTGAGTGTCGGAGTTCATTGTGATGTCCAGTCGAGCAATAACCGCGAGCACAACGGAGTTCTGGTCCAAATGTCCCTCTGAAATGATTTGAGTGCTTTTATACTGCTCCAGTATTTTTCATTGCCTTCTCTTCTACCCAACTGAAGCTGCATCCATCCTTTCACATAAGTCTTCCTCCTTCTTTGGCACACTGTCTCTTCGAACTAAATTGCAGAGATCGATACAGAGATTCCGTCCCGGATTTTAAGCTTGTTTTGTGTGCCTCTCCTGCTCTGGGACCAGTTTCTATGGCAATCCGGCCCCTCCACCCCGTCCCGTCAGTAACCCCAATAAGAATGGAGGGACATTGTAGACAAAGACTATTGTTGCACTGAAAAGATTCCCCTCCCCTTCTCCTTCATTCTGCTCCTCTAAGCCCCCATTCAAGCATTGTGTGAGAAACAGGGTGTGAGAAAGATCTCAGTCGTGTCTTTGAGGCATCACTGTCTCTGTTTTACAGCAAGTTCTCTCTGACCTTTAGATGGGTTTTAGCAGCTGAAAGATCTCCCTTTCAGCACCACAAACAAATGAGCGGTTGGGAAGTCGGACACTGTTACTCAACAGTTTGTTGAGAGCGAGAACGTTTTCATCACTTTTGTGGACACGGAATTCTCAGAGGAATGGAGAATTCACATCATTTTGGCAGGCCGAGAACAATCTTTTCGTTCTCTAGAGAAACAGGAACAGAAGTCTAGTGTTCTGCCTTCTGTTGTGTACAATGACTGCGACAAGGGAATAAGTGAGAAAAGGAAGGAGGGAACTATTGAAAGACATGACTGACCAAATCCTGTCAGCTCTTAAAGGATCTTTTATTTATCACCTAAAGGAAGCTGAATGAGAGATCTTGGACTTAATGAAGTCTCAGTGCATCCATAAATGTGATAGATTATGCAAATAATGCACATAAAAATGAGATTAAGATTTCCGGTCATAAAGCAGAGAACAACATGACAATATTATAGAGGCTGAATGTGCTGCTATTAAGCTTGGCGTGACAATTCGGAATAAGCCAGTTATCTTAGAAAAAACAGCCTCTGTTTCAACACCGAATGGAAATCTGCACAAAAACATGTCCTTGTGTCTAAGAGTTATAAAGGGGGATGATAGACGTTTCACTTGGATAATAATAAAACAAATATTTTGTTTTTTCTTTTATAAACTTTATATTAAGTGTACCAAAAATAATAAAATTATATTAAAACTATATTAAAAACTTATATTAACTTGTTTTTACAGGTTCACAATTCAGTCTGAATTACTCTTAGCAAATTAGCATTTTAAAAAATTAAGAAAAATGTAGTCATTTCAAATGGCTGTAATGGTCATGGAAATGTATCTGTGATTATATTATATTATATTAGTTAAACATTATATTACTGACTTACATGTGGATAATTATTTTGAAAGCTGATTATTCTCCCAGTGTATCAGAAAATAAATAATAAAGGCTTTTATTTATTATTCTTCAAAACATGCTTCAAACTGATTAATAATGATGGGAAATTTATAAGGGCTCTTTTTGTGATTTTTTTTTATTAAAATGTTAATATTTACAAAAACTGTTAAAATTTATCATGACATTATAAAATGCATATGATATTATATACAGTAAGAAAATATTACATGGTGAATTAGGTTAACATTTATGATGATATGTATATCTCTCCTTTTGGTATAAACAACTCTTAGTAATGTAGATTTATAATAGCATAAAAATCAAAACACATTACGGGATAACCGTAAGCTTATTTATCGGATGCAGCTCTGTCGTTTGGTGTGATCTGTCCACTCAACTTCATCAGCAGCTTGATGATAAGGCCGGCCTGGAGAAAAACCACAAACTCAGGTTTCACATTGTCACAATGA